AAAATATATGAACCAATACTTTAATATAACAAAGTACATAAATAAAGAATACAAATTTTACTAGCTATTAGGAAAAAAATGAATTTAATACTTGCTTTTATGTTCTCATATTAAAAGAAGAATTAATACCCCAAAATTCATATAAATGATATATAGTCCGCTCACTGATTTCTATATGTCACATATGTCACATTAATAAGGGATTGCACAAAAAAGCGATTTACGATGAATAGCATATAGTAATACAAGATATTAATACTTCTATTCAATCTGTCTGTCCGGCACGTGGCGATGTACAACAATAAACTTGATATCGGCATAGTTTAATAAAATTTGAAAATCACGAATCACATGCAATGTCTCACATTTATTATAATTGTACATAGCCGGCCAAAGGATCTGCGAAATTATGAAATTATGAAATTAAGTCATGAGCTCTCTGGCCGGAATTTCCTTTTTGGTTTTTGAACGAAGAATGGTAAAGAGGTTCTATTTGTTTGTCCAAACTTCTAAAAAGAATTCGAATACATATTGCATGTAACTTATATAGGCAATAAATTTCTGTAAAAGGATAACAAAATAGCTATTAATAAAACTATTTTTGCTTCGTTATTATAAAAAATATGATATTTATTTTATATTTTTTTTTGATCAAATGATGAAATATTTAATTTTGATGGCGTAAATATATATGTATACATGCAAATAATTTTGTTGCATAAATTTCCATTTTTTACAATGAACTACTACAAACAAAAGACGTCACAAAAGACATCATGAGAACTTTATTTTATAATTTATTTGCTTGTATTAATAATTTTTGAAAGAATATGTTGCATTTTTAGGAATTTTAATGAATGTTGACGTTTCAGAATTAACCATTTATTATCTTTTTTTAGATATGGTTTTTTTTTTTTGAAAAAGCTTAATCTAAATGAAGTATTTTATCAAAGAGAAATGGCAATGCGAACAAATTTAGTTAATTATTTCTATTTTTCTTTCTTTTTTCTTATCAACAAAGGTGTATACATATATATATTTTATTTTTAAAAAAAAAATATTACTTTTGTTATTGTACTATTAAAGTTTTTTTATCAAAAAAGGGTATGTTCATATATAGAAAATATTAAAGTTTTATGAAAATCAACATTAAAGTATGAGTCATCTGCCGAAATTCTTTGTCAAAATGATCTATGTGACGCACAAGCATCACCTGATTCATTAACACAAACATTTTACTTTAATATCAATTTTATAGATTATATTTCACATTTACTAAATCACAAAATTTTTATTTTATTTCACATTTTACTAAATCACAAAATTTTTATTTTATTTCACAGTTACTAAATCACAAAATTATTATTTCACATTTTACTAAATCACAAAATTATTATTTGTAAAACACAATTGTTATTTAATAAATATTACTCCATTTTTCAAACAAAAATCAATAAAATAAAGTTAGGAAGATAGCCAACCGAAGCGTATTTCTCGAATCATGATTTATTATTAACGATGAAATTTTCAATTGTTAAAAAATCATAAGTGCGCGTAATGATTATTCTAATTGTTGTACGACGGTAATTATTTATATTACGGAACGTTATTCCAATCTATAATGGTGTAGTTAGCCGAAAAATAATTAGCCGCAACGTGATCCGGACCCGGCTCAGGCGTAGATCGTCGTGGAATTCCAGGGGATTTTCTGCGATTAAACCGGGTCTGGATGATCGGCGATCAGGAATTCGGCTCCGTTTTTACACCATTATAATCAAAAATATCTGTTATGGAATTTTGTAAAATCCACCTATATCAAATTTCTTAATTTTCATCGTTCTATTACAGTCTATATAATAAAAGACTTAAAAAAGATACTCTAAATTGTAATGTATATATATCCACTAAGCATACTAACTTATGATGTAATATCTAACAGTACGTTACTTTCTTTTATCTAGGCGGTTCTCTTTGGGATTCTGGTGGGTAATTTTTTTTTCATTAATTACTTTATCTTAGCGAACTCTACTAACGGTTCGTTTTTATCTTTTAGATTTTGCCGATCCTCTCTGATAATGGATGTGAGCGTCTATTTTTTTCATTTTTTATTTCTTCGTATTCGTTATTAACTTTTGACTTTCTTTTTTTTAGATTTTGGCTTCTTTTTAGGTTTCGATGACTCCATCAGTGTTATCTTTCTTTTTTAGGTATTGCCGATTTGCTGGGTGAGTGTACAATTTTATTTTCATTTTATCTATTTGTCTTCACTACTAACAATCAATCTTTCTTTTTTTATGTTTCAATGTCTCTTTTGTGGAAATAAAGGTGGGTTCTTTTATTGTTTGTTTTTTTTTTGTCGTCTTTGGTACTAAACTACTAAACTTTCTTTTTTAGGTTTTGTCTTCATTTCACCCTTCAAACGCGTGGGATTTTGGTGAGAATCGGACAATGTTTATGTTTCTTTATATTTCTTTAACGAAAAGTATACTAACGTTTCAATTTTTTCTTTTTTTAGAAGACCGAGTCTTTGGACGTGTAAGAATTCGGTAGGGTGGAGATTTTTTTTTTTTTTTTGAACTATTCTTTGAGAAACGTTTATTAACGTTTCTTTCTCCTTTTAGGTGACATATTCTTCGAACTTCTGGATGTGGATTTCGGTGGGCATTTTATTTATTTTAATGAAACGTTTTCTAACGTTTCAATTTTTTCTTCTTATAGATGGTTCTTTTGGTCTCTCCGGTCGCGGCATATCGGTAAGTTTGTTATTTTTTTTTCTTGATTTTTATTTTGACGAACATTTTCTAACTGTTTTTAGACGGTTCTTAAATTCTTTGGACGCGGGACTTCGGTGGGAGTTTTTTTTTTGTTTTATTCCATCTTTTATTTCGTCTTTTAAAAACGGTCGATAATTTCTTTTTTTTTCTTTTTTTTTAGGCGGATCAGACACGGATCTTGGTGAGAAATCGACCCTCAGTGTTAAATGCGCGCGTGAGATAGGTAAGTTCAGAAAAAAAGGAATTCGAAACTTAGAAAAAGGTTTTTTTTTTAATTTTTTCCTTTTTTTTGTAGTGAAATTGCTTGGAAACCAAAATCCCAAGTATAGTTTCGAAAAAAGGAATTCAGAACTTTAGAAAAAAAAAATTTTTTTTTTTCTATTTTTTAGTATAGATTAATATCGATACAAAATAAAATTAATATAGATTTAGATAGTTGATACAATGCTATCGGATCAAGTTTATCAACACTTTTCTTAAATTCTTGTACAAATGGCATCGTCTTTTTATTATACAATGAAGCTGTAATATAACTTTGATATTACTTTAAATAAAAAATATTTTTACATTAAATAAACTACATTTTTACATTGTATTTGTTACATATAAACTTGTTGGACTATCTAAATTATTCACAGTATTTTTATATTCGCTCCATATGGATACCCTACGTTAAACATAAAATAGCGATACGCCTACTACTTTTTTATTATATATAGCGGCTACATAGCTTCTACACAGTCCCGATTTCGCAGGTTTCAGCAAATGTTACTAATTTATCATGACTCCAGCGATAAAATTATGATATCATCAATAAAAAAATCGTACGGACGGAGACGTGCTACAGTTACGTACATATATGATGGTAATGGTAGCAGGTCATAATTTATAGGAGTAAATCCATCTCGACTTCCTTTTAATAATAATGGAAAATTTATACGGTAAATATAATTTTCTTAAATGAGTAAATTTATTATTAACTGCCTTTTTAATCCATCTTGAATTAACTAAAACAATATTTAAATCGAATCAATATTTTCATAATTTTTAATAATAATTATAAGGACGAACTTTTTATAAGAATTCTTAGACAATAAACTAAAAAATCTAATGTTGCAAATTATTTTCCATTGTTTAAATCATTATCCGACCAAATATTTGAATCTGAAATAAGAGTTGGATTTTGCAAAAAACTCGTTTTAATAAATATTCCCAAACTTCGTCCCTTTTAATAAATTGAACTAACTTAACAATAAAATTCATACAAAATTGTTGGTCCTAATAAATAATTTGATTAAAAAGTGAAAACTTGGTCAAATAAAAAATACACATGTATCTATTTCAGAAAAAAATTAAATTAATTGAAAATCCGGTTTAAAAAAACTGCAAAAAAATATAAAAGAACCGGAAAAAAGAAAATTTTTAAAAAAAACTCAAAACCGATCGAAACTTAACTTTTTTGGGACTGGATTAGTCACATGGATTGGTCATCGGACAATCGGAACATGCACATCACCTCGATAGCCAATCAAACAATTCCAACCATAACCAACACTTAACAAACACGTTTCAGTCGTTTCATATTACACAATTCATTTAATATGGAGACAATTTTTTTTTTGCATGTAGTAAACCATAAATATATTAACAATCTATATTTATTAGCAACCAAATGGTATAGAGTTGACAATGATTGTTAACAAATAATAAAGAATCTGAGCGCTAATGCTTTTACATGAACTGCAAAATTCATAAGATATGTGATCATAATCATTTGTATATGCGAGTTATACAAGTTTTGTCAGTTTTGTCAATCTCAAATTTTGGTTCACACATGGATAAATGTTAGAAATGAGTAAGTCTCGCGTTTTAAGTTCAAGATAATTTTACAAATACTTTTCATTTTACGTTAATTATCATATGCAGATAAAACAAACAACATGGTTAATTTATTTGTAGCACGAATAAAATGATCGTGGAAGATGTACATATGTTTTTTGACAAACAAACAATCGTATTAGGAGAACAACATCCGTTGTTTATATTAATTAAATTAATTGACATGATCATCAAAATGTCTTTACTTTTTAGGGTAAATTTAATTTTTTTTTAATCTGTTTCCATTTAGGAATTTTGGTATCACACTAATTATTATAAAATAGGGATTTGTACGTCAAATTTAAATTTTTACATATTCTTCCTCTCTTTCCTTATTTTTTTTTTTAAGTCATATCACAAGTCATGTCAGTAATGTCTTTGCCAATATTACCAATTGAATGTTTCGATAACATACTCTTTTTTCTTGATAATAAATCTTTATACAAATGTTTATTTGTTAATAGATATTACTGTAAAGCTACTATTCCAATTATTTGGAGAAACCCTTTTATCAAGCAATTTTCAATTTCTATTAGCCGTTCATTAATAAAAACATTACTTGCATGTCTTAATGAGGATGAAATTTCTTCGTTAATCCCCTGTGTGATAAAATTTAATATTAAGCCTCCTTTATTTGAATATGTAAGATTCATAAAAAAATTAAATCATGATTGTTGCGTAGAACACATTGAACAATTTATCAAATCCTTACCTGAATTATTAAGTGGAAATGATTATACCAATTGCAGAGAAAAGTTGATTCATTCTATATATAATATGATTATTCAAAGAAGCTCATTCTTAGAGGAGTTTGAATTAAATGTAGCCCAGAAAGGTTATGTTGACTTACCAAAACCTTCCATTTTTACAACTTATGAACCTGGATTTAAAAATTTAAGTTCTTTAACTATATTTAGTTTAGACTTAATAAGTAATGATACAAAACGTAAGAATACCACCAAATTTTTAAATATAATTCCTACATTTTGTAATGGTATTGTTAATATAGAACTATGGATTAAATTTCTTAATGGCATATATGTGAAACAATACATGGATATTATTAAATTTCAGCCTTTAAAAAGAATATTTATGTATATCAATAATTGTGAAAAAATTTCATTTAACTTAGGATTGGAATTTCGATCTGAAACCTTGAAAGAACTAATACTAGATAGTCTTGATTTTAAATATATTGATTTATCGTTTATATCAAAATTAAAATGTTTAGAACTTCTTGAGTTTTTATACTGTAAAGGTTTCAATCATTGTGAAGTTCAATCTGAGAGTAAATTACACCTTAAAGAATTCAAACTATGGTATTGTACTACCGGGACTCCCATGGAAGAAATTATTAGTTATCTTTGTAACGAATCATTATTAAAGCTAGCCTTGAGTTATGTCACTCCGAAAGCTGCTGAAACAGTAAAAGAATATTGCCCAAATGTTAGTTCTTTGTGCATACAAATATGTTCTGATTCAGTAATTCCATTTATTTGTGAATTACGTTCATTAAAAGTTCTAAACATTGGATCTGATAATGGAATTGATATGAGTTCATTGGTTAAAAGCTTAGGTAATCATTTAACATCTGTTGAATATTTATTTTTTGATTTTAATATTGATTTACCAAGCTTTATATATTTTACTAATTACTGTAAGGCTAATTTAAAAAAATGGATTATTACTTTAGATAATAATTCTTTAAGTAAGGAATATTTGTTATATGTAAATAATTTTCAAAAAGTTCATAATTCTTTAAAGGAATTTGGAATTAATAAGTATAGATATAATTGGACCGATGAAGAACTTGAAATTGTTGATATGTTAAAGAATCAAGGAATTAATGTTGTTACATCTGGTGAATTAGATTTATTTCATTAATATTAGTGTTAAAAATAGTATATTATAAACATTAACTGTATATACATGACATTTGACGTATACAGTATATATAAATATATAGTAATGTAACTTTTTTTCATTAAATGTTATTATATTTGAATACTTTTTATATAGAAAAACGAATAAAAAAATAAAAAATTTTGCATTTCGTCCATATTATGTAACTTTTCAAAATATTACATTTAAAAATGTAATAAATTTAAGTGAGATTCTTTAAAAGGTTCGTAATTCAGTTAATTATCTCTTCTTGTTTAATGACAATCATAAAAAAATGTATTTTTTTTTTAATGTTTTTTAATAATTACTAAATAATTTATTTATTATAAAGATTAGTCCTTATAAATTTATTGTTATTTTTATTTATAAAGTTTTCTCATTAATGACTAAAAAATTATATTTTTGGCTTGAGATAATCGGGAAAATGTGAAAATTTAAATTAATTTATTTTTCCATAAATTTTATTAATCTAACAATTAATTTAATTTAAGATCGAAAATTCAATTCAAATATATAGTGGTTAAACAACGATAACCTATTTGTTTTTAAACGCTAATTTTATTCTATGTACTACAATTTTATTTAAAAGGATGTCAGAAACTACTGCCGAAGAACCTACCCTATAAAAAGTTGTCCAAACACTGTTCGGTTTTTTGTTCAGAAAATTGACCCGTTCCGAACATTTACTTGAATTTATTGGACAATTATCATGATATTGTACGTTTTTTATGTGGTCGAAAATTCTCAATCTCTGCATCTTATATTAAATTGTAATAACGTGCGAGTCTTCGGAAAATCGACCCCATTCCGAATATTTATCAGACAAACATTTTTTATAGGCAGAAACGTTTTATTAGTGATAATACTGACGCATCAGCTGAAACTCTACTTTCACGCGTAAAAACTAATAAAGGAGGTCCAAAATTCGACATTAAAGTAAGCTAAATCACACAACACTTTGGTTCTAATGCAATACTTCCTCCTGAGAATTTATGTTCGTATTAATTGTTCTTTATTAAAAGCATGGATAGTGACAGGAATACCTTTTAATGTTATCGAAAACCATTCATTATGGGTATATTCAAGAACCTGAACCCGAATATGTGGCACTATGTTGTGGCTATTAAATGAGGAAGTTACACGTATTAACCGAAAATTGAATCTGAATTAAATGCGGCGGATAGTTTAACTTTAAGAAAGGAATTTATAAATGTGAATTTTTTTTTGAAAATTATTAATAATTGAAACTTTATCTTATAATTTATTAATCAGCATTGGATGGTTGAATATTTAAACAGAATAATTATTACAATATAACAACACCTGAAAGAAAAGAATATTTAGTCGCTTTAAGCAACTATTCTACGGAATCACGTACAGAAAAGTTCCTTACTTCAAAAATTTCTGCAATTATAGAAAAAATTGGAGTGAATAAATTCGCTGCTGTAGTAACTGATAGTGCCTTTAACTGCCATGTTGTCAGAAAGAAAAAAAAAAATAGAAGAAAAGTAGTCATATTTGAGATTAAAGATGCATAGCTCATGCTATTAATTAATGGCAGCAGCAAACGATCTTGTAAAACTTGATAATATTACACATCAAGCTTCTGCAATTCTATTCCAAGATTTAAAAATGTGAAAATTAAGATTGAAGGATTACAAACATGGTGTAAAACTAGATAGGGCTCATCATATACAACAACAAACTCAATTTTACGTCGTCCTGTGTTTGACTGGGTAGGATTTTTTAATAGATATTATGATTATATTATTTATATAATCACTAACAATTAAAACTAACTTGATTATTAATAGATATTATTAAAGCATAATAATATTATTTCAAATTCTAAAATTCATTATTTGATGTCAAATTCGTTCAATTTGAGCTTTTATTAAGAATACATTAATATTCTTGAAGCAAATCAGCTGTTCTAGCTGATTGTTTTGTTCAAATGATTAAATTGGAAGTTGCTATATTTCAACTTCAAATCTTTACGCAATTCAAGTTTTTAATTATATTATCTTGAATTTCAACATTCTGCTTACCTTTTATGTTATTGTCTTCATCCTTACTTACTATAAAGGTAAAATATTTAAGTTTGATTATCATTTTAAAAATTTTATTAAAATTATTGTTTTTAGCTTTAGGTGTTAATGATGATGGATTCAGAAATGCTGCAATTGCTGCTACAACTCCTTGGCAGAATTTAGGTTATCCTGAAGAACAATGCAAAAAAACTTCTCAGTCAATTTAGGTGGGTTGATCAAAAATCAAAAACCTCGTGATTTGCCTTATGAAATGGGTATAGATACACTTAAACTTTGGTGGAGTTCTATAAGATTTAAAAATAAGCATTATTTGGTATGACTCCTTCACAAGTCAGGTTGTGACCGAAATTTTCCATACCTAAATGGATGATTGGAGATAAATGTATAAGTCCTGATGTTAAAAATTTGAAGGTATGTCAAAATTCATTCTTATTTATTTGACAAATATTAAGAATTATTATCTGTTATATTAAAATTAAAAGAAATTGCAAGTATTTCTAATGTGGGTGAAATTATCTCTTTAAATGATGAAGAGAAATAGAAATGCAAAGTTGCAAACACATACTAATTCGGTATTAGAAGTTATCATTGATCTTGATTTGATAATGCAGAAGCTGTAAATCCAGAAAATAATGATACTGATAAAAGTAAATATGGATTTTTAATCCTATTGTTTTAGTTAATCAATTTTTAGAAACTAAAATTTAAATAATAAATCATAAAATCTTAGAGTTGCGTCACTCATCTATAGGAGGATATTTGATGTTTACAGTACCAGCCACAAGTGAAGTGTGATTTGACAAATAATATGGAATAGGCTTATTATTGTTTTGGAACTGTTTGTGAAAACTCTTGGTTATTTACGTTTAACTAGTATAACCTGTTGCATTACAGTTGATGAATTTAACTTAATATAACAATTAAAATTTTGATTAATATTTAGAGGTAATAATAAAAAAATTCAACTTTACTGGAAATAAAATATTTTTTAAAAAAATTAAAACTTTTAGTTTAAAAAAAAATCAATTAAACAAATTTTTTCGGTTTTAAAAAATAAATAAATAAATAAATAAAATTTTAAAATTTCAGAAAAAATTTTGGTTTGTAAGAACTGGAGAAAGATATTTTAGATGATGCAATTGTCCGCAGCATATAACAGGGCTTTTTATTATTATTTTTTTTTTCATATTCTTAAAAATTAAGAAATTTTTTTTAACACCCCGTCCACAAAAATATCTGACTTAGCCGAAATTGGATAAGCCACAAACCTCATGATTTGAGCACATGATAATCATGACATGCTAGCCGACCAAATTATAATAAATGTGAAATAAATTGGTGTATTTCATGTTGCACAATTGAATGGAATTAAAAGGGGGCTGAATCAATTTATCTTCCCAGCTCAACAGTTGTAAGAATTTTTTATTGACTTTACCAATAAAGTTTAACTTTTCAAGAATAAGAATGTTAAATAAAAAGTATTAATGCATAATTTGAATTAATAAGAAAGATTTTTGCATTATAAATGATTCACATTACAAATTCAAGCTTCAGTTGTATATTGTATTATGATATTTATTATAGTATAAAGTGTATAATAATGGTCAAATTGCAAATTTAAAACTCAATTTTAGTATAAGTTCTTTGGAGTATAATTCTATTGTCTCCTTAATTAATGGTATAATTTATGAGAAAATTTATTTTATTTTAAAGACAGTATATTAATTACTCAAAATATGGTCAGGTTTAGTCAATGAAAATAACTTACAAATTATTATTGAGAAAATTGATGCATTGTAATTAGATTATAATTTATTTTTTGAATATATATGATATATCATATAATTTGTTAATCCACTCATAATAAACATAGAAAATAAATTTTCTCATTAGTTATATATATACTGTACATATACTTTACAAGTTTGGTATAATTTAGAATTTAAAAATACCCTGCTAATAAAAGTGGTATCAGTGATTATTAACATATTAATTGCTTGTCTTTTTCTATAATTCAACTATCTTTATACAAATTTTGGCCAAATACTATGTAGTGATAGGTACTTTAAAGTTAGTTGGTGTAGAATACTAGTCTGTTATCACATATAATGTATGCTGTGTATATAGTGGATAAGATTCAGGATTATCAATGTAAATATTAAGCCTATATTTTAAGCCTTAATTAACACTCATGTTTATTTTGTGGCTGTAATGGTAAAAGGAGTTAGCATAAGCTGAAATCTTGCTTTAAACTTGAAATTTCATCCAGGTGTTACTTAAAAACAAGTAAACTTCATGTGTTAAAAATTAAATATAAATAGGTTAAGAATTTGTGATAAATCAAATGGTTTTTTCTTTTCCCCTTTTTCCTTTCCCCTTTTTTGTTCTTTAAAAAGATATCAAATATATCAAATAATCCTATAACCAGTCAAAATATTAAACAATCTAAAATAATATATATCAAAGCATCTTATGAGTCAAGATATTACCAGTTTCTTAAAATAATATTACTATTATTAAATATGATTATCCTTAACTAGAGTTTATAATTACCATATATTAGTATGCTTTAACAGAAGTAGAAACATCAATGAGCTTATTAGCAAGTGCAATAGCATTTAAAGTGAAACAAGTATCAGCTACAGAAGTAATAGTATCAATAGAATCATGGGTACAAACTTCAGAAATGGAACATTGGCAGAATCAGGCGTGGCAGTATCATGAGACAACAGAGTAGTAAAAATAAATTACACATACTAATTCCATAAATACCTTTACAATAATAACTACTAGTCATTACCAGTATCACAATCACTTATAGTTACCTAGCTTTAATTTTAATTGGAAAAA